ATGCCGAAATTTGTATCGAGAATGATGTCCTATTAGAATAGGATAATTTTATTATATTTGTGGCCAGGTATTAAACATTATAATTACTCGTCAAAGAATCTATCTATCAATTAGACATCGAGATTACTTCACGAGTTGCCGTGTGGTTAAAATACAAGTCGCCTGGACAGACTTTACGGATAGTATGATGTCATAGTATTTGCTGTGATGTCACCTGCTTACCACTTGCTTGTCCTTGTTTGCACATCGGGCTACGATCGGATAATTGTATGATATCAACACACACCTTATGTAATAGTTTCTTTATTACCTATTATTTCTTAATCCTTTTGTGATCCCCTTAAGACAACATGCCTTGATCACGACCTCCGTCTTAGTAAACCACACATTTACGTCAATAACCTTCAGCTATGATGTCGTTTCTCGCGTGACGTCATTCCGATGTTACGTCACAAATAATTCGATTGACGTCAACGGTGCCGTCCGGGTGAAGTAAACAATACACTTGTGGGAGTGAAGTGTTATTTGCACACCAGTGCACAAACGATTTTTATGAACTCGGTAATTTCCTACCCTATGGGTATCACGCACAGGTATTATGTGTTGCTTTTAATGATAAATTCATTATATTTGTGTCAGTAGCGGGGCGTACGGGATTTGGCGAGCTAAACGTACGTGTACAGTACACCCGTCGACCTCCGGTCGTTTGGTGAACATGTACACATTAAACCGGGCTTTAATTGGTCTTCAGCAACCCGTGTTTGGCGTAAGAGGCAACTAACTGGACTGGATCGGGCGGTCAGGCTCGCTGACTTGGTTGATCAATGTCATGGTATCCCGATTGCGTGGATCAAGGATCATGGGGGGGGGGGGGGGGGTAAACGGCTGGCTGGACCAAAAGTAGTATGTTGTAGGCAGTAAAAATTATCTAGAAAAAGGATATGTTCATTTTTAAAATGCTGGGTCTGCCCTGTAATATTGCTGAGTGTGGCATTTAACAACAAACCAACCAACTAACCAATTGCCTAAAATGATCCTCATGATGTCAATCACTGGATGGTCTGGTTCAGACCTGATTATTTACAGACCTCCGTCATATAGCTACTTGTTTGCTGAGTGCGGTGTTAACGACCAAATAAACAATTTGACTGACACAGACAATAGCCACGTTTGACGTTCATGCAAGCTGAAACGTAGACGAAAGCAGCGATTCTGTGTTTTGTTTATGTCAGCGTTGCTTACAGTAATCCATCTTCAGGCTGACCTGTCGACAGACATTGATGTCATCTCTTCAATATCAGTTAACTTTACGTCAAAGATTGCAACAATTAATGATGACCACCTACAATAAATACGCCACGAAAGATTCAAATGCATTATCATATAACCATAACACTCCACACATCGACCGTCAATCCAAACAAACATGAAAAACTGACGTTATTAGTGATGGGCGTGGACATACTGTACGCGATAAGCACCCACGCAACTCAGTTGAGAAATGACTGTTACGCACGCTTTACGTGGAGGATTTATTCTTTGTCAGAGGTATCATGGTTCCAGATATATCAGAACAGTCTGTTGCCAGAGGCTAGAAATAGTCACATTATGCTTATCAAGTAATTTTATAAGATTTTGGTTCTGATGGGCTTGGGTTTAATGAAAATGCCATGCTACCCTGACTCGACTCAAGAGAGTGGGTTGGAGATACTGCAATCAAGGCTTCAGTAAAGATTAGCTCAGAGATAATAGAAAGCTAATAGTTGCGTCATGGTGGAGTCTATCTGGCGACGTGATGTGATGGGCCCAATTTAGCTATTTCATGATGATTAGCGAGTGAGTTGGGTTTAACACCGCTTTGAACAGAATTTCTGATATATCACGGCGGGTCGGCTTATTGTGGGAGGAAATCGCCAAGCGATGTTAACTGATGGGCAAAAGAAAGTACACCCATGTTTGGTGATGGCTAGATTGAAACAAACAATTAAGGTTATTCGATGGTGATGTATTTCATTCGAGTATCATAGTTGTGTTCTGAACCTTAAGTTTGCAGTGTTTCGGCGACTGTTTTTAGACTAGTAACGTTTTGATAACGTTTGTAAGTCTTTTGGTCCAATCCTGTGTATATTTTCTTTTCCTCGTCAGGTTAGGTGTTTGGGTTAGTATTGCATGTTAATACGTTAATATTCATCATTATCTCATGTTAAACCTTGTCACGTATTGATTTCTAACTGAGGTGTGCCTTCATTAACCGAGATCATAATTTATTAAATGCCATTATTTGCCATCGGCACCAAAACGCAAGGAATGTCGCAGGTCGCACCCAGGAGTTACTGTTCAAAACGTTACACGAAACCAATCAATCATCTCGTGAATGAAAAAAGACATATTCTCGTCGTGAGCCTTTTGTTTGAAACATCAGGCATTAAGAAGCAGAGTATAAGACAAAGTACAATGGTGGCAAGAAAACATCATTAACGTGTGTAGACGCACAAACTCCATTGGCGACATCACCAGCAACACCAACAATCATAAGCCCACACTACGGAAACTCCGTTGTCTGAAGCCATATGTTATTATGACCACTTGGCGTTCGTGTTTCCGGTTGGAAGAGGCATATTAATGTGGTTGCACCTGACATCTGTATGTAGGGCTTGCGATAAATACAACACTCAGAACATGAGAACTAGTTGTTTTCTCTTTTTACAAATATTCTAAAGAACGTCATACGACTCTTGCTCAAAAAGTGTTAGATCAGGGTTACAACATTCAAGGTTTCAGTAAAGCTTTCAAAAGGTTTTATGGTTGATATTTCCAAATATTACGCATCATTGACAATACGGTTGTCCAATGCAATCCCTATTATGACTTGTACCATGTGTTTCCGGTTGTTTTGTCGGGTGAATAATTGACTTGTCTTTGCATGTGTTTGTGACGGGTGCCACCGGTGTGGAAGGATATGCTCACCTTCATTTCGCGAACATCTGGTATCATCACTTTTTGACAGTGATTCATAAACACATGTTCATGGTTAATTCGGAATCGTACAGTCGACCCTGCTTTTGTCCCAGATTTCTTATGATTATGAAAATTGTTTTGTCGTTATTATTCACAGTTATGTGTTTTCAGTTATGGGTATGTCATAGGGCACGGCTAAACAAGTATGTGATCTGATTATAGGATAGTGACCTCGGAAACGTTGGACTTTTTGCTGCGGACGAATACTTTCTTGATACAGATCAATAAAAAAATTATCGTTCGGCATTGCGAATTAAATAATGTATTATTTCTTATAAGAACAATTCCGCTTTAGTTGATTTGTCTGAGCATTCGGTTCGGGTATCATGGAGGCAACTGACGTTATCCCTGCATCATACCGCCATGGCATTCCAGAGTGATGCTGTATGTCTCACAGCTGTTTGCATACATGTAGAAAGGGTTCACAGTTTCAAAGGTAATTTCCGGGTGTAAGGTACCCAATGACATCCGCACATTTGAACAAACATGTTTAGTTCCTTATTCCCGTCGAAACCGTCGACGTATACTCATTATCTAAAGCGTCATTTTGACGTTATCACGACGTCGTGTTACTCCATAACAAACATATTGCTGATAAAGATCAAATCTCTTCTGTTAAGCTGCCATCACATTCAGGAATCAATAACATATACAGTATAACATATCGGAACCTTGTTACACACAGACCGATATCACCGGTTTCAAATGTACATGACTGTTATCATTACGTGCACAGTATTCAATCATTCATAGATGTGTAAATACAATTTTTACACAAAATATGGTTTTCAGGGGGACGTCGATATCAGTAGTAGAACGTTCTGGGTATTTATGGGTTGAAGGGATTAAAAATTAGCATTAAAGTGCACATTTTTAGAGCGTTCTGAAAATTCTGACTTTTTTGTGCTGTGCATTTTAAGCATACTTGGATAATAGGAAGAGAGATATTTACATCTTTCATGTTTAAATTCTGAACAAATGAAAAGGTAGTGGAATCCCCAAAGATCTGAGGACATCCCATTACGGGTCACGTCAGAACGACCTTTCATCCAACCAATCAGAGCGTCGCTTACCAGATCATGAAAGTGACAGTCGGAATGTGTTTACTAATCATGCAACCACGAAATATTTAACACGGGTTATTCCGAACGACAGTTACGGGTTTTATCATTATATCCATACAATCTAGGCCATCTATAAGTCATTCCACAATGTCCTTCAGTTTTTAATCGAGAACACGTCAAAGTATGTTTCGAAGCGTAGTTGCCAGTTTGAAACTAGTGTCGTAAAGCTTGAGAAAGCTGCCTTCTGACTGGCTAATGTTGATTTCTTGTTAGTCATTTCATTGGTCGGTCAAAATTCGCGAAAGGTCGTTCTGACGTGACCCGTAATGGGATGTCCTCAGATCTTTGTTTAGGGGTAGCGAAAACTAAGATCTGATTTTAATGAGATTGTGTTCATGTCGGCATATCATTCATGATATGTGGTCTTTTAACCACGTTTTTCAAAGACCAAGTTGACGAAGAATTGGGAGGTTTCGTGTAGTGCGTACTAAACCTATGATATGTATTTAGTATCTTGTAATAAAAACATTAATGACAAAGCTATTACCAAAACACAGAGTTCATGCTGGTTACTGTACGACTATCAAAGGTTTGGCGCTTGGAGAGCACAACTGGTATATTGTTGTGTTTTACTTTAGGCAACTGAATAAACAATAAAGTATGTATTGAAACCTGGTGTAATGTACATTTTACTGCTATGGCTATCACAGCCAGCTGTGACGATATCATCAACGCAGAGAAAAAACAAACTGAATAAAGAATAACACTCACTAAGCGAATATATCAAGTTATTAATGCGCCAAAGTCTCATTGATTTTTCTTTAAAATTCTAACCAAGCTTTCGCGTACGCATTTGTAACATTATCTTTTTTGCTTAAGACATAACTGCAATCTAATAAGTGTCTTGTTCTGTTGCAGTGACGACTGTCGTTCAGTGAATGGGTGTGCTTCAACAACGACTCAAACCCTTATATTCCACTGAGAAGTCTGGCGAGGACGTTGTTCGAGGATTTCAATGTCGATTGTGTGAATATTTATCACTGATCTGAAGACCCCAAGTTTGTATCGATCAAGACAATGTTTACCATTTAGACTTGGTGTTACGGAATGGTTATAATATAACGCGGATTATCGATGGAGCCTGAATTGATATTTTTGAAAACTTGATGATTATATCAATTGAAAATGTGATAGAAGAGTCCGAGTTTGTGCACAGATATCAATACTGACACAGCCAGGAAGTACATTGTAAATAAACGACGTTGGAAAATATCATATCGCAATGGCAAAAACACAGCTATCATCTGCTCCAGAGAAAGAGAAGGCCGGACAACGGGACAGCGATGTGGCCACTCCTTGTCGAGAAAGGTCAAGGACGCCTTCTGGGAGAGACAGAGTTGTCGCCCCTGTAGACCATATGTTGATCCCACCAGCAGGTTGGAACGAAAACCAGAAAAATCGACGACGGAGCACCATTCATTCGTATACCCTTCAGCATTACCAAGCTCTTCCCAAAGATGCCCAAACGCTGAAAAAGGTAAAGGAAATGACATCAGGAAAAGCTATGAAGAACATTCTTGCCCTCAGTGTTGCATTTATGTTTATTTTCACAGCATTTGTTTCCCTCCAGAGCCTCCAAAGCACTTTGCATCCAGGTGGAGTGGGAGTAGTCTCCCTTAGTTGTGTTTACGGGACGACCGTTCTTTCCTGTCTCGTTGCCCCTTGGCTCATCAACAGAATGTCTACAAAGTGGACAATGGTCGTGGCTTTTGCGATGTTCACTGGCTATTTCTCAGCAAACTTTTATCCTATGCATGAAGTTCTTATCCCACTCGGAATCGGTCTCGGGCTTCTGGCGGGCCCTTTGTGGAGTGCACAAGCGACATACATCACGACATTAGCCTTGACGCATGCGCAGCACGAGAATATCGTGGAACCGGACGGATTCATCAACAAATACATGGGAATTTTCCTCGGCTTTTACCGAAGCAGTCTCATCTGGGGGAACATGATTTCGGCTTTTGTCCTTTCAAGCAACTCTACCCTTGAATATCAAAAATACAGCTTTAACAGCACGCATACAAGGGAAGTTTGTGGGGCTCGTGACTGTCATATTTACGACTCGGCCGATGGCACGTATAACAATGACTACAGACCGCTGCAGGGTTCGATTCCTGATTCCACGCGTTATATGCTGCTGAGTATTTACCTTGGGTGTGGCATCATGGGAATTGTAATACTGGTGGCACTTGTGGATAAAAGCAACGTCGGAAAGCAGGATGCGGATCCAGAATTCTCACTGTCATCCAAAGAACTGTTTTTGTCGACATTGAAGATGTTCAAGGATTCGAAGTGTGTGCTGCTCATTCCCCTTGTGATGTTCGTTGGCCTGGAACAGGGGTTCATGTTCGGAGACTTCACTAAGGTGAGTTCATTAATGAATACATTTTGGTCCAGTTAAGCTATTGTCTTGTTTTTTAGTGAGCATCTACAGTAAACTACGGTTACAACGAACTCAAAGGGACCACTGAACTTAGTTCGTTATAACCGTAATTCGTTATAAGCATATATACAGTATAACTACAGCAAATAGTCGGGACTAAAACGTTAGTTCGTTATATCCGTTAGTTAGTTATAAGCGTGTTCGTTATAACCGTAGTTTACTGTATTTGATTTGTTAGGGAGGGGATTGTTTAAGAACAATCCATTTCTTTCCTATCTGAATCCAACAAACTATGTATTTACGGAGCATCATCAAACAATCTATTCATTTTCACTATAATTACAAAAATGACGTTTTGGTATTTTCCAAAAAACTAAGTATTCATTTTTTCACCATTGCAAACAAACTATTCATTTTGGAGTAATTTCTGAACAAACACTTCATTTAAAACATCTTCCAACCCGACCTATAGTAATCAAATATATGCTCCATTATCACAGTTTGCAATGCTGACAAGGGAGGAAGGAGTTTATTCTATACTACTCAACGTTTGATAGCGATAATCAGATATGTTTGTTTGTTTGTTTGTTGTGTTTGTTGTATAACGCCGCACTCGGCAACATTCCAGCTACATGAAGGCGATTATGCTTGTCGTAAAAGGCGACTAACGGGATCGGGTGGTCAAGCTCGCTGACTTGGTTGATGCATGTCATCGATCCCAATTGCGTGGATCGATGTTCATGATGTGAATCACTGGATTGTCTGATCCAGACTCAAATATTTACCGACCGCCGTCATATAGCTGGAATATTGCTGAGTGCGGCGTTAAACAACAAACAAACAAAAACGAAGTGAACTGAAACACATGAAAAAAAGTGTACAAGTCACAGATGTCCAAGAAAGGGGGATACAACCCCCTTGCAATCCTTCTGGATCCGTCAACGAGTTATCAATATGAATTCCCCGCCACAGCATAAATATGTTACAGGGAACTAACGGAAACGGACCAGTCGCCCGAACTCTCACTTGTCACCTTATCCACGTGGCTGCGTATTCTGCGTAATAATCTCACGCTCTATCCAATGCGAGAACCTATGCTGGTTGTACGAGGCGACTAAATGGATCGGTGGTCAGGCTCTTTGATCGTTGCTCATAATATCAATCACTGTTTACAGGTTGTCGCCATCATAATTAGTGCGGCGTTTAACAACAAACAAACATTAATAACGCAAATCAAAATCACTGTATATTTGAATAAGTTTTGTGGTCATTTCATTAATATATGAGGGGCGGTTTGGTAGCCTAGTGGTTAAACCGTTCGCTCGTCACGCTGAAGACCCGGGTTCGATTCCCGACATGGGTACAATGTGTGAAGCCCATTTCTGGTGTCCCCCGCCGTGATGTTGCTGGAATATTGCTAAAAGCGGCGTAAAACCATACTCACTCATTCACTCATTAATATATGACGTCGAAGTACGGAGACCAGTGATTGTGTTGGCCGTTTATCAAGAGAAGCCATTACGACATTGGTTTGTTCCTAAACGTGAACACATGTTTCATTGCCTTCATTGCATGGACTGCTAATTTACTGTCGTCTACGAACAGTGCCAGGTCTGTTCTGGAAATAGTCTGCTGTTTGTTCTGACGTAGACCAGAAAACGTGTTTCATGCCAGGCACACAACCAACCACACCCAAAACTGTTATGTATCAATCACGACTACGACGTTACAGCACCGTGGCAAGTCTAATATAATTATGGCGTGATCGTGGCAGTGGACGTTGTTCGTAATGTCGTTTCTAGTTTCATCAAGTATACATGTTGTAGTTCATATGTATTAATTCATTGGACATGAAAACCTAATGCTTTTGGTTAAAGCATGTACACGTGCATTGTACTCAACCCTCTCCTGGCACATGTGAAAACCGCCTCCGTGGTCCAGTAGAAGAGCGTGTGTCGGAGGGCGGAAGGTCGGTGCTTCGTTGCCCTGACCGCTTCAAACCAAGAGTGAGTGAGTTGGGTTTAACGCCGCTTTTAACAGTATTCCAGTTACATCACTGCGTGTCAGCTTAATGTGGGAGGAAAACCCGAAGTGATTCAGGTCTCAGACGTTTACCACTTCGGTGAAACCCACGAGCACGGGTATGGTGCTGACAAACCTAGAAACATAATTGGGGCGAACCGGGATTCGGAAACACATTCATAGGTTTCTGGCGTGCCCAAAGGACGCAACTCTGCACAGCGAATCGCGGCGCCTTAGACGACTGGGCCACCCGTGGCCCCTCAAACCAAGAGACGCTAGATGATACCCTGCCTGGCGCTCGGCTTTAAGGGGATGCAACTAGGACGGTCGGCTCAGAGCCAGAATAATGTGTCTGAGAGTGGTATCCGTTGTTAAAATGCAGCATGGTCTCCCGGTGGGCTAGCTCTATAACATTGGACTAGTACAAGCAGCCACAAACACCCACGTGCGTGCACGTGGTCATATGAGTTAAGTAATATTGAACGCGACCTTAAACGCCATTTCACCTCATCTCACTCCGTATTTTAAGTCATACGACCTAGACACAGTTCCGCATTAACAATACATGTTTAATTAGTGCTAATATGGACATCGAAATGACTAATTCCGCACCGCTATAAAAATAATTTTAAAATCTGGCAGCACCATCCCAATACCTCATGGAGATGCGGGTTGGTATAGGTCCCCGGCAACCAATGCTGGTTGTAAAAGGCGATCAAATGGATAGGGTGGTCAGACTCGTTGACTTGGATGATTGCGTGTCATCGTACCCCGACGGTTTAAATCGTTGCTCACAATATCGCTCACTGGATTGTCTTGTGCACTCAGTATTCAAAGCCGCCGTCATATAGCAGAATATTGCCGAGTGCGGCGTTCAACAACAATCACAAAACTAAACGTCTACACCCTGGGCATCACTTCGTCACTTTTTTCAAACAAGCAAGTTGTATCTGAAATGCTGTTGAACAAACAAACAAACAAACAAACAATGATGATGACTTCAGATATGACTACAACAGAGTGAGTGAGTGAGTGAGTTTGGTTTTACGCCGCTTTTATCAATATTCCAGCAATATCACGGCGGGGGACACCAGAAATGGGCTTCACACATTGTACCCATGTCGGGATTCGAACCAGGGTCTTCGGCGTGACGAGCGAACGCTTTAACCACTAGGCTACCCGACCGCCCCGACTACAACAGACATAATTAAAACAGTGTATACCGCATTAAGAGTCTATACATCAAAATTGCGCCCGACGTCATAAATCAGTGATGCCAAAGACTGCGGAAACATCGAAGCGTTTTCTGGAAGGAATTGCTTAGATACGTTAGGAACTGTTCAATATAATATCGTTGCTATTTTCTATTCTAGCCTGAGGTTAAACAGTGGGGACCTAAAACGTAATTCTTACAGAAACCTATTAGTACCTGTCGCGGTCTCGGAGGAACAAATTGCTCTGTCCAGACCTGATGGATGGGCACAGAACGGATTAATCAAACCACGTCAGCGTATTCATTCAAGGGCAGGATAATGGTTTGCGATAAGAGAAAAATTCCCACCCTCGAGGGTAAGGAATATTGTCATGTTTGATGATGTTCCAGTTTGAATGGTTTGGGGAAAGGGAATATATTATCACCTCCGCATGTACTCAATTTTTGCGAAATGTGTCCTAATGAAAATGTTGTATACGCTATATAAAGTATTCAACTGAGTCCAGTGTCGGTCCGTGCGGTGAAGCTGAAATTTTGGGAATCAAAAGGTACATTTGTCTTTATTGAAAAGGGCAAGCTGTTTGATATTTGTCGATTTTCATTTCGCGTAACCCCACAGGACATGTGGGTTGAATCTAACAGCATGTAATGCTAAGATTGGGTATTCTGATTTATCGCCAGAATATTCAGAGTAGGTCACACTTGTTATATGCGTCCGCTACATTTCTACGCCGCTGACCCGCGTGTGTTGCGTTTATTTCTAAACATTCTATTTCAAACGATGCATAAATTTTACGCGAGAGCCGATTTTGGTAACCTTGAATTCATCCAAGCAGGCGGTCAATGCCAAAGTTTCGCAGGAATTGACACTTAACAGAAGAAATTAGCGCCCGAAAACCTTTATCAGATTTCCCTGGAGAGTTTCAGTTCCAGGTTCCTGGAAGTCTCGGAGAACCGTAATTACTGTGTCAGCCCGTGCTCTCGGTTTGGAAAATTGGCCAAGATGCTTTTCACTTGCGCACGTAACTGGTATTGGTTGAGGAATTCAATTTCAGAGGTTACGAATCGATGGTCGAGTTTTAATGGCCGCTGGTCAGGCCTTTGGCTCCAAAGTAATGATCAGGGATACAGGGAACGTGTAGCTTTAGTAAAGTGGTTGAAGTATCATTTCAAATGAGGATGGATGGAGCATACGGCCTTGGGGTGTTCATGTTTGCTTCTCAGTGTTTTCAATTAAAGTCGATATTTGTGTTGGGAAACTACTCACATCTTTACTCACGAATTAAACTTACATATAGGAACGTGTAATATAATAATTGCAAGAAGAACTTAACAACGGTATAAGACAGCAATGTATATTAACTATATTTTAGACTTTACACACGTGAGATCAGTTATGAGGAGCGTCAAAAAACTCCACCCTGCCGGACTCCTGGTTACAATAGGTCTCCAGCAAAATGTGCTGGTCGTAAGAGGCGTAGAACCTTAAGTCAGGCTCAGTGCCTTTGCAGATTGCATGTTATCGGACCCGAAAGACGTGGGTATTTGCAAATAATATCAATCACTGGATTGTGTGGTTCAAACTCGATTTTTTTTACAGGCTGCCGTCATAAAGCTGGGAGCCAGCGATAAACAACAAAGGATTGCTCTGAGCACAAGCCACAAAACCATTAATTTTCCATAATCAATATAAATTAAACGTCACAAAACGTCAACGCCAGAGATTATCGCAATTATCTGCCGAGAA